AAGCAGGATGCAGGCATGCTAAAAATCTAAATCCGACACATTCCGATAGATCTTTATCAATATTTTTTAAATATTTTATTTTTATTTTAAAATTCGTACAAAAAACATGTAAAAACATAAAATACTTCGAAAACTAATAAAAAATATTTTAAAAAAATGGCAGCCTGCGTGACACAGGCTACTACAACGAAAATGACGGAACTGCTATAAAAAAATACAACTTCCAAGAATTCATGTTTGTCATGAGGATAATTAATAAACTTGCGCAAAAATCAATTAAATACTGTAACTAGATAGATGATAGACTATGCTAAAAAAATTTGTCAGCTCTGATAACTTATCAATATATAGAAATCCTCAATTTTGTATTTATTTTTATTCATCAAAGCCAATCATAATAAATATTCGCTTAAATATTATGTTTAATTTTTGGACAAACTACTTTCTAAAAAGCAAATTATATCTTGGTACAATTTTTTTTTATGAGAAAAAATAAATATTAATTAAAAAATATTACAGATTTATCATTAAATAATACCACCTGCAAATTCTTATTATAAAGAGAAATTATATTACATTAAATGATATTTAAATAATTTCTTATCTGCTATCAAGATTTCCGATGAATTTTTTTTATTTTTACTTTTAATTCAATCTATCAAAAGGGATAATGGAATTTAGAATTAAGGTTAGAATGAGTTCGCTTTAGCTTTAAAAAATACCAAAAATAGAATTTGACTGAAAAAATAGCCATTCATTTTATAATATTAATAAAATTATTTTAAAAAGGAGCAATTAATTTGGAAATAAAGGAATTTCTAATTTAGTTAAATAGCTACCTAAGTGTCATATTCTAAAATTTATGGATTTGAATTAGGTAATAATTACTTACTCAAAATTCATTTTTTAATACAAAGGTTTATCAAATATGAATATTTTCTATATTATTAATTTGAACAAAATAACTCTTTATCAATTAAATTTACTAGATGTCTTATTACATTAACAAACAATTTAGTATTTTTGTGCAATTTTTAAAACTCTAATCATAAATTTATTTTTACTTTGGTAGATAAACTAATTTTACTAATTTAGTTAATACTCTCATTAAGTTATTCAATAAATTAGTTTAAATCAGTTTTTGTGTTTTTTTCTTTAAAAATAAATCTAATATTAGATCAAATTAATTATACTATAAAAATTTGAAGATTAAAAACCTTAGTTAGTTAGTTATTTCTTGAATATTTACTGTAACCGATCAAAATAATCCTGATATAGAAATTTCAGTTTCTGAGTAAGTAATTTATTTTTAAATTTTCCAAAAAGAAATTTGGTGTTAATATAAATGGGTGTTAATTAAAAAGAGCCTACAGTATTTTACTTTTTTATAAACTTTAATTTTATTAACTAAAACTAAATAAATAATAAATAACTTGCTAGCATAATAATAAATGTTAAAACTTAAATTTTGCAATTTTTAAATTTATAACTTGAAATTAGATCCTAGATAAATAAATATACTTTGAATGGAAATATTTTATTTGCAAAATTAGGATTATTTAAATTTTTTAAGCCGTTAATGCTATACTCACTTATAACATCAATATTGAAGTGAAAACTTCAATAAATGAAAAAACAATTAAATTTATATAACTGTTTACTACTACTTAATTAGTTAATAAAAAATATTTTAAAATAAAATCTTAATAAATTATTGATTTTTTTTTTTCATGTTGAAAAAAAAGAAATTAAAAGTTTAATTCAAGCAACAATTAATATAGAAAACATAAAAATATATTTCACAAATTCATATTCTTTTTAATATTTTTTAATAATAATTCAAGCAATTATTTTATTAAAAATAAACAAACAAACAAAAAGAACATTTCTGATTTCGTAAACTATGTTGCCAGAATCTAACAAACATTATGTGGTTCATCACTTTTTAATTTTTGAAATTAAATTTTTCAATTAAATGGAAATAAAAAATTTATTTAAAAATAATAATTACTTTCTAATATTTTTATAAATATTCATTAAATCTAGCTCTTTCTTCTGTGATAAAATTTTTCAAAGTATTTTACCCTATTTGTTTTATTTAAAGGTTCAGTGATAAAATATTACGTTCTATTTTTATTTTTTTAATTTTCTTTTTAAATTGCTAATAACAATCTAATTTAGAATTAACAAAAAGTTAGTTAGTTACATTTTTCAAATTATTTTCATAACTCTTACTCACTGTTTTCATATTTTTAACTAATTCTTACTTCTAGATTAGTATTTTTCAAAATATTACTATCTACTTTATACATTTTAATAAGATTATTTTTCAAAATTATTCTTCTAAAATATTAGGCGCTGTATGTTCAAAAGTAAACTTATTTATCATCTACTAATAATTACCATCTGTTTTTCAAAAGTATATTTTATTCTCTAATTTATTTTTTATGAACTCTTAATATGCGTACTTAAATTAGAACACAGTCTTAAATTAGAATCTGCTTAAGATAGAGTATTTACTATATATTTAAATTTATTCATTTTAATAGAAGAAGAAGATGATTAAAGATCAAATATTTTACTTTCTTATAAACTTTAATTTTATTAACTAAAACTAGATAAATAATAAATAACTTATTAGCATAATAATAAATGTTAAAACTTAAATTTTGCAATTTTTAAATTTATAACTTGAAATTAGATCCTAAATAAATAAATAAATAAATAAATAAATAAATAAATAAATAAATAAATAAATAAATATACTTTGAATGGAAATTTTTTATTTGCAAAATTAGGATTATTTAAATTTGTTAAGCCGTTAATGCTATTCTTACTTATATAACATCAATATTGAAATTATTTTCTAGCCTAAAAAAAAAATGGAATTATAAATGAAAACTTGAATTAATTAAAAAAAAATTAAATATATATTATTGTTTACTAATACTTAATTAGTTAATAAAAAATATTTTAAAATAAAATCTTAATAAATTATTGATTTTTTTTTCATGTTTAAAAAAAAAAAAAAATTAAAAGTTTAAGCTACGATCAATATAAAAAACATAAAAATATATTTCACAAATTCATATTATTTTTAATATTTGTTAATAATAATTCAAGCAATTATTTTATTAAAAATAAAAAAACAGACAAATAAAATAGAACATTTCTGATTTCTTAAAGTGTGTTGCCAGAATCTAACAAATACTATGTGGCTCATCACTTTTTAAAAGCAAAAAATGATTTATATTTAATGATTTTTTGAAATTAAATTTTTCAATTAAATGGAAAAAAAAATTATTTAAAAATAATAATTACTTTCTAATATTTTTATAAATTTTCATTGAATCTTGCTCTTTCTTCTGTGATAAAATCTTTCAAAGTATTATACCCTTTTTATTTTTTTTAAAGGTTCAGTAATAAAATATATTTTTCTTATAAATAATTTTACTTTATTTATAAATAAGTAAGTAATAGATATTCATATTTTGGTTTCTTAATAGGATTAGTTATTACCAGCTGTTTTAATTAAATTTATATTTACATTTCTTTATTGTATTTCATCCAAAAGTATTTAAAATATTACAATCTATTTTTGTTTTTTATTTTTTTATTATCTTTTTAAATTGCTAAAATATTTTACAATCTAGTTTAGAATTAACATATTTAATTAGTTAGTGACATATTTCAAATTATTTTCATAACTCTTACTCACTGTTTTCATAGTATTATTAATTAATTCTTACTTCTACATTGCTATTTTTCAAAAATATTACTATCTATTTTATACATTTTTATAAGATTTTCTATCAAAACTATTCTTCTAAAATATTACTCGCTGTATATTCAAAAGTAAACTTATTTTCCATCTATCTTATTTATCTTCTACTAATAATTACCAACTGTTTTTCAAAAGCATATTTTATTCTCAAATTTATTGTTATGAACTCTTATTCAATTTTACTCACTATTTTATATTTACATTTTATTTTCATATTAAAAGACATTCTAAAATTTTAATTACTAGCTATTTTGAATATGAAAGTTAATTCAGCATTTATTTTCTCATCAAAAATCATTCTAAAATATTAATTAATTACTAGCTATTTTGAATATGAAAGTTAATTCAGCATTTATTTTCTCATCAAAAATCATTCTAAAATAATA